TTTTATGACAAATAAATACATTGAGTTAAAGGCGTTAATTTTAAGGTAGGTTTAGATTACGTTTATTCTTCGGAAAAAGAAGGGTAACTATATTATAATTACCTTTGCACCATAACTTGTTTTCAAACATGTGGTTACATTGAGATTACAAACATGTCCAACTAAATTTTTAATGTAGAGTTAAAGCATTTTAAGATAAAAGCGGGTGTAGTTACGGCGCTAAACTTATTAGCATAACTTATTAACATTCTGCTAAAAGTTATGTTAGTGTTTGAATTACGCGAACGGAACCCTTTTCAGTGAAGAAGCTGCAAATAAAGCTGCAAATAAAGCTGATATATGGAGAAACTCGCCAGTTGTGGCAAGAAAGTTCGGATTCATGGCTTAAGCAATAAGTTCGTGAAGAGCCACCACCATATTAACAATAGAACGAAATGAACCCGAAAGTAAGTCAACCCAGCAGCGAGTTCTGGATAAGAAAAAAAATCGCCCTCTCTCTCACTTCCCCCTTAAAAGAAACGTTCCAGTAAATTCCGCTCTAACCGGTTGGAACTGCAAAAGTCATCAGAGTCCCTCTGAAGCTTTTTAAAAAGTCTAAGTCGGCTTAAATGGAGATTTTGGTTCAAGGGTAAACCTCACATTGAGCTTTTCGCTCAGCTGCTGTAAAAGCAGCGATGAAGGCGCGTCTCTGTTATATTTTGCATTGTGTTAGTGTTATAGGTGGTCTTGTAGGGGGATAATTGTTTTATTTCAAGAATTTCTATTCTCTTGTTTGATTCATATTTATAAAAAATACAAATAAAAAAAAAATAAAAAAACCCAACCTGTTCCTCCACGAGTGTAGATGAAAGAAAAGCATCGTTTGCATAAAAGTTACCTCTTGAAGAAAGGTCTGATTTTGTTGTTTTTTAAATGACTATACCAAATAAAGAATAAAAACCCACATCGTTTTGAAATTGATATTCTTCGTTTTGTATTCAAGCTACAAGAGCGCTACAGAGACTATGAAGAAATTGTTTCACGAAGATCGCTACGATAAACGGCTGAGGCCTTTTTACAGAGGTAATGCGTCGGTATTACAGAATTTCTTCTATTTTATGACGCTTACAGTATCACTGAAAATCTCCTCTAAATAGTCTCTCTCAGCTATGGTCTGGATCAAACTTGAATTTTGCATCTCCTTAACGATCAAACAGGCCAAATATGCGCAGTTCGCACCCTTATGATCTCTCCCCTACAAAAAGTCTTCACTTTACGAAGTGCTTTTCCCCGCATCAGGTCCGCCAGTGAATGTTACCATAGACATGTCCCTGGTACATTTTGGAAAAGTGAGGGAAATTGATATGGTAAGTAATAGCAACCAAGGAATCATTGACATTTTGATTACAGTGTGCATTATGAATTAGGAGTTAAGATACGTTTTGATAACTAATTCGCCTCGATTAGCCAACTTTATCCATACCGATTACTAAACGGTTATAAAAGAGAATTAGACTGAGGGTATTGAATAGAACACTCCACTCTGAAACGCAAAAATCAAACGTTTTAAAGTCACAGGGCATTTTGTTGCCAATGTTTTAAGATGATTCCTGAAGTTCATCATCGGATTTGATCCAAAATGTTTTTGAAGTCCACTTGAAATCTGAGAAACTATTTACATTTGTCTCATAGGATTTCTCAGTTGACATTTTCTTTCGTCAATATTGGCGAGACCCGCGCTTAAACCACTCCCTCGAAGAGCCAATTTTCTTGACCGGATCTTACAGAGATCTTATTTGGCTCCCAGATACCTTCTTTCTCAACATCAAGACAGCCAAGTTTCACAATGTTCCTGCTGACAACAGCAGAGTAAAAATCAGGCCTGACGGTCAGGTCACGTGGAGTTCAAGGTAACGAACACCAGTTCCTAAAAAATATGTGGAAAATATACCTACCTGTAACAAAATGAATTTTCAATATGTATATGATTTTAACTTGTGACGCTTAGATGATTGTAACTTGTGACGCTCAGATGTCATATTTATGAAACCTGAAAAACCGGGACGCTTCAATGCATAACACAAGTTGAGAAAGACGCTATCATCGACTATTATGCTAAACTCAACTATAAGAAAATAAAATGAAGTACACAGTTAACCATCATTTTGCTCTCTTTACAACTAAAAGTAGAAACTGTGCCAGTTAAAAGTAAATGATTTTCCCTCCATATTTAATCTTCATAAAACTATATCACTTGAACATTTTGAAAAACTGAAGATTAATTGTTTTATCAATTAATAAATTAATTTCTTATAGGATAACCATGACAGCAAACTGCCAGTTGGATCTGAGGGACTACCCTCTGGATAGACAGTCCTGCAACTTAACACTTCTAAGCTGTTGAGTGAACTCATTTTGAGCTTCTAGTGTGTTTTACGTTTTGACATAGGGCACCTATGGAGCTAAATGGGCTACCCTGTCTAAATAAAGCTTACTTACTTACCTGCTTACTTACTCACTTATTAAACAAGTTCTCCCTTGAGAATTTAACGGAACATTTTCTTAACATATTAGACCAAATTTCTAATTAGAGGAAAAAAAAATAAAACAGGCTGCAGTCGCTCAACTCATGACGTCCAGGTTTGAATCCCATATATAATTCTTAACATCAACTCACACCTTTTCCACAATGCACATGAAGCAGACCTTAAGTCGATGGGATAAAATTATTTCCATCTTCGAGTCGAACCCCGAAATCGTTTTCAGTTCATGTTAATTTTTAACGATGCATTTAGCATTCTAACGGCTGTATGTACTTTTCAGATGCTTATCCGATTGAACAAGTCGACTATTCGTGGAAAGACAAAGATAAGAGAGGTATTGTCATTCTTGAAGACCAAATGAACGAGTTCACCTTGAGAGAGATCAAGACCAGAAGAGCAATAGTACTTTATGGGACCCGCGGTTCCAGTAAGTACTCGATTTATTAAATCACAGTTATGGGAACTAACCTTAGTCTTAGTGAGCATTTGTTACTGCAGGATTAGCCCAGCGATGGGTCGGTCGATCGATTGCTCAATTGTCAGGCACTGATGATCGCCTTGTTGGTTTTAAAATTGTTTTCTTTTATATCACAGTTTTATGAGCACACAGGAAGTATTACCTAACAACTTTTTCG